AAATTTTTTCATTCGTTACATCTTACAATAAACCCAACAAAAACAAGTTTTGATATTCTGAAATAATTGCAAATTATCTGAAAAAAATACTCAAATATACCACAAAAATTCGTTACTACAAACTGTAAATGAAATAGATTATTTGGGAATCAAGTTTGACTGGAATTTAACTTTCAAAGCACATTTTAACAAAATGAAAGCCAAAGCAAAGCAGGCCATTGTATGTTCTAAACTGAAAACTTCCAATCTGAATATCCATATCAAATTATTTAACTCTACTATTATGCTAATTATATGTTATGCAAGCCCGATTTGGAGTCTAGACTACATTTATAAATTGAAGTACTTTCATATTTACTATATACGCAAACTATTTCAATTAGAAAGAACTATTCCAGGCTATGCTCTACAACATGAAGTGAATCATATTTGGCTATTCCCTTTTTTATTGAAATGTCTAATTAAATTTTATTATAAACTAAAATTTAAAAGCGATAATATAATAACTTATTTACATCATAAAAATATTAATCAGAGTAAAAATTGTAAATTTAATCAATAATACAAATTAACTAAAATTCTTACTTCATTTGGAGTATCAGAGCTTTTATTTCAAGACAAAATTCAAGACTGGAAATTTGGATATACACTTTTAATAAATTCTGCAATCTCTCAAGCAATAAATAAGGATCAAAATTTATTAAAACAAAGTACTTATCATCCATGGTATACTGATCTGCTACAATTTCTGTCTGTTCAATCCTATATATTGCAACAAATAGGTTTAAATGTAAAACATCTAATAATGCAACTATGACTAAATAAATATACTTTTTTTTAAGGATGCACTGATTAATCGGTAAGTAATCGGTAATCGGCCGTATCGGCCACTTAGCTGATTAATCGGTATCGGCCATTCCCCCCGATTAATCGGTTTCGATAATCGGCCAATTTTACATTTTGGTATTTTTGTTAGAATGTTACGTACAATGCTAGTAATAAAAACTAATAAATTTCTGTTATATATTTATTATTTATTACATGACAATCTGAATATTAAAAAAATTTTACTAATCAAATTATTCCTTTCATCAATACATATTATAAGTATAATATAACGTATAATATAAAGTTTAAACTTTACATAAGAAAAAGTATTGAATAGGTTAAGAAGAAAAATTAAATTTTTATTTGTTTCATAAGTTTAAAGTTTAAATACAAAACAAATATAAAACAAAATAAAATTTAATATTTAAACTGTAAAACCCTTAAATTACAATTTAAGAGTTTTACAGTTTAAATATTAAACTTTAAGGGTTTTACAATGCAAATTTTAAATTTAATGGTTTTACAGTTTAAGGGTTTTTGCATTGTAAAACCCTTAAATTACAATTTAAGGGTTTTACAATGCAAAAACATGAGAATTTCATCATTTTAAGGGCATAACCTATTTTTTGCCGGCTCATAAATGTTACCTCCAGTGCTGAAAATTTTTTCACTTTCAATAGAAGATGCTGAGGCACTTAAATATTTCATAGCTATTTTGCTCAAATTAGGGATAAATGTAAATATGTTTCTAATTCTTGATTGAAATGTTTGTTCGTCTGTTTGGTTTATTTTGCTTTCTTTCTTTTTAAAAACATGCTATTCTTCATTATTTCATTTACCAGAAGCTAATTCATCAAATAAATCAGAAAAACCTAGAAATTCACCTCCATCTTGATCACCTCCAGAAGTAGAAGCTACAGAATTTACTTCTTATTGAGATTTCTTCTAGCATATCCTCTTTTTGAAATTTCATTTTGAATATAATAAAAATGACAAGCATAAAGACTTGTTTTCTATATATGCTAAAATTTTTTTATTGGATTTTCTAGTTCTTCTGTTGTGGTATTAATGCCACTAAAGGAACTACTGATCTTTGCTTTTGATAAGAATAAATTCAGAGACTCTATTGTGGGAATTATTGAAGATGAAGTGGCTTCTCATTTGCTGGCTTTCCACAGTAATTTCTTTGAATGCTTTTACAAGTAGAACAATTTTTTCAATGAGAGACCACTGATATGGGCTCAACGTAGGAATTTTATTATCTATAGTATATGTGACAACGGCCTTTTGCTGTTCCAACATGTAGTATGTAGAATTCCAGCGAGTAGGAACATCTTGAATTAATTTGTGTTTCTGCAAACCTAACTTTTCTTGCAAATCTTCTAATTTAATTACAGCTACAGCAGAATGATTAAAATGTGTGACAATAGTTATACTAAATGTGATTATAGTTTTCACATCTTGTTTAGAAAATATGCATTCGTTTAGTGTCAGCTGCAGCATATGATAATGCTTCTAAGTTGCAATTCCTAATTCCAGCTACTAGATTTGCTGCAGAATCTCTTAGTACTAAGAATATCTTATCACTTGTCAACTTATACTGTTCAAGAACAATTTTTAACTGTTCACTGATTCGTGTAGCTGTGTGGGAACCTTCAAAGGAAACAATTTGCAAAACAGCTCTTTCCTGCTGAAAATCATCCTTCAACCAGTGAGCTGTTACACTTAAAAAAGGAGAATTGTTTGTAGTTGCTGTCCAAATATCAGCGGTTAAAGAAATATATTTTGTTTCTGTTAAACACAAAAACACTTCAGCTTTTTAAACAATGTCAAAGTTTCCATGCGTCAACAATTAAGTGTTGAGATTTATTTTATAACCAAAGGAAGAGATTGTTGATTTTGCGAGGATATTCTATCATCTCTTGTTTACCTGACCCGAGGGAGATGGAAATACCAGGTGGAGAAAAATGGGTTTTTCCACATTATAATTAACTGTATAATTAACTCTAGGATCTCACACTATTGATGCAATAAATTATTAACACTAATCGGCCGATTAATCGGTATCGGCCGATAATGCATGGCTGATTAATCGGTAATTGGTAATCGGCCATTTTGCTTATCGGTGCATTCTTACTTTTTTTATCAATAATATTTACATCGATTTTACAAGTTCTCATTGCTATTTCTGTCATTCCACTGACTTCTCATCATACCATTTAATTTATAACTGTCAAGAACTTACTAGTCTACAAGACCACTATAAAATACTCCAAATATGTAATTACAACTCTTTAACTGATTTCAAAAGGAGTTTAAATAATCTTAATAAGAAAAGCTTATATAAAATCTATAACTACTTTGTTAAAATTTCAGAAAAATTTATTGTAATTAATCAAAACATATAAACTCTTCATTTGGACAATGTCGACTACTTTTATATACGATGTTCTTGTAATAACTGATGTAACACTATTCATGTATATATATATTTTCAATAACCATAGAAGTTGTGTTTTACATTCATATCTATGTATATTAAAATTGTATAATTACAATTATTCTTATCCAGTTGTCTAGCCCCGTAACAGAGAAACTATTCTCTATCTGTAAACATTAATTTGTATATATAATTGTGTAATAAATGACAAATTATTAAGGAACCAATCATGTGTAATACAACAGTAAAAAACCATTAAGAATTATTGATAGGTCATTGAATTGAATTAAAGAATGTTCATGAAACAGAACTTTCTACCAAAATGTCAATTCAATTTTAACAACTCATTTGAAAATAGTATGTTCACTGGTACTTTGACAGTTAATGAAACTAGCCAAAAGTACAGTAGACCCCTTAAAAAACGGGTTCATGTGATACGGATTCGTATATAACGGCGAAAGAATTGCGATCATATTCATGTAAACACGCTAAAAGAGACTTGTATGATATGGTAAAACGTCATCGCCGACTCGTGTCACGACAGGATTAGTCAAATCTAGACCAATAGTGGATACTGCACAAACCGTTGAGTTTAAACGAGCAGCAGACCTACTAAAAACCATTTATTATTTAATGGCCATTAAAATTATATTTATATTAATGATGTCTTCACAGTTCAGCAAATTTTTCGCAGAAAAATAATTTATCAGGAAACATGCGCCCACCGTTCAATGCGCCACTCCATGACGAAAACAAGCTTAAGCAATGGCGTTGTCAAACGATGCAAGCTCAGTAAGTAATCTTACAATTTTTTGTTTATAGTATAGTTTATATGGATTATTCCCAAAAAATTATATGTGTTTTGGAAATGTTGAGTCAAATTAGTCTAGAATTAATTAATTTTATGGAAGAAAACCTTTCAAACAGCCATAGTCCATAAACTGCATACGTGCCGGCTGTGATTGGCTCATGTATTTAAGGACTCGTAGAACATGAATTTTATAAAACACAGAACGTATCTACTGTGCTATAGGGGTCTACTGTAATTAAATTTACTAATCATGTATAACTTTAGTATATATTTATCCAGATTCATGTGTTTTTACTTAATTTTGGATTACTTTTATTAACTGATAAATTTTTCATAAAAATTAGTTATCCAAATTATTCACAAATGAATAGTTTAAAAATTTATAACTGTAAGGCAATGTACCTATATATCTTTGTTTTGTCTTGAAATCTAAATCTAGTGCTAAATTAATAAGCATTTATCAATATTAATATAACAAGTCATAAAAACCAAATACTAAAGAGATTTCAGGAATCAATAACTTATTTGGATTAAACATTTTTTTTAAACTTATTACATGAAATCTTTAAACAAAATGAGGTAACTAACTAATTAATCTGTGTATCTCATTTTATTTAAATTAAAGATCTTAAAGAATTCCTCTGATTTTTGGAGATTTTAATAAACAAAATAATATTTGATAAAATCACTGCAAGTTATGAAGAATGTTTTTAGACCTTTATAGTCTCTCTTCAAATCACAACTATGCTCAGTTTGATTCAAATAATGTAGGATCTTATTGACTTTGATTCTGAATATAAAATTATTGGTTATAAATAAATAAAATATATTTAAAGTATTAGTCATAATAATGCACATTTAATTAGAAACTGATAAATTTACAAGAATTTAATATTTTATTCAAATAAAAAACAATCTTACCTCTGGATATATTCCTAAACTGCCATTTTCATTTGTATAGGGTGGTAACCAGAGTTTGATGTTATCTTTAAGTAATTTCTCACGAACTATACTTAATCTAAAATCTTCAGTTGCCATTTAAAAATCTGTTTAAAATGTATTACATTTATTAATGTTTAAGTAATTTTACTACATATTAACTTAAGAAATAACTTAATGCTTACATAACAATAAAAAAATTACACTTTAATATTATTAAAATATAGAACAATTTTNTATAATGATGTCACGAAATTCTCCACTGTTTCTCCTCCTTCTTGAAACCGAGAATAGAATTTATATCTTTCGTATATAACATTTTTAGTTGAGACGAAGTATTTTTCAAATGCAGCCTTAACTTTTGAATAGTCATTTCTATCCTCTTCTGGGAGACTAAATGACGCCAAAATTTCCTCAGCTTTCTGTCCCATTAAATATATAAAAGAATTTACCTGGTCAGTTTCTTCTTTATTATGGAGTCCAGACGCAGTTCGAAATCGTTCGAAACGCCCTATCCATGTTCTCCAATCTTCCGGACGAAAATTAAAAACTTCTGGCGCTGGAATCTGATACATTTTCCTCTACGCTGCCACCATGTATTATAAACGACTCAACTGACCAGATAATATGGTACAAATAACTCTTTATTAATACAACTAAACACTTCTACATCCAGCTGGTTACC